TTTTTATAGGCCATCGGTTGGGACTAAACCAACTAATATTAATTTCCACTGACAAGGGGCAGCATTGTTTTCTAATTAGGCTACTGATAGATTTCAGCTGGTGTCTTGGCTTTCCATGCCTTTTTGCACCTCACTTTCTTCATGTGTTCAATACTTTTTCCCTGTGTCATTCTACTTTATTACACAGAACTTAATTTCTGAACTTATTTGTATTGTTTTCTTTGTATGTATATATTATTCGGATTGTTACCGACATCTGGTGAAAATTTCATGTCAACAGCACCTTTAGAAATATATTTACTGAGAAAAATGGTGATGCGTTCAATACTTATTTTACCCGCTGTATGTAAATAAAAAAGACAAATTTAAATTCTATGTTTTAAACTATTTTTATAATATGTAATAATAATAACAATAATAACTGTAGAATTTCAACATTTTATACATAAAAATACAATTATTTTTGTCAGGGAAAATGCTGGCAGGAAAAATCTAAACTACAAAAAAAATGAAATTACGTACCACCACAGTTATTTTTTCTTTTTTTTTTTAATTATTACTTTTTCAGTTAGGACACATTAAATTGTCAAATCAAAAGTGATAGTAAAAAACTAAAAACATTTATAGTGTTGCAAAGGATTCCTATTTCAAATAAATGCTGCTTTTTTTTTACATTTTTTAAAGTGTTTTACGATTTTCACAGAAAATATTAAGCAGCACAACTGTTTCAACATTGATAAGAAATGTTAACATTTTTAAAAAATGTTAAAATTTTAAAAAGAAGCCGCAAATCAGCATATTAGAATGATTTCTGAAGGATGATGTGACACTGAAGACTGGAGTAATAATGCTGAAAAGCTTTGCCATCAAAGGAATAAATTACATTTAAAATATTTTTTAATTGTAATGCTATTTCACAATATTACTGTTTTTACTGTGTTTTTGTTGACCAAATATTTGAATGGTATGTATTTATCTCATTTGTAAGTCGCTTTGGATAAAAGCGTCTGCTAAATGTAAATGTAATGTAATGTATAATGTATGCATGTACTTATGATTGTTATTTATTTAAAGCCATGCCTTTTTTGATTAATATGTAACATCATAATAATATATAACAACATAGATACAATAGTATTGAAAGACATGGCAGGCTACATTCATAGAGATTTCATTTTGGCTCTGTGTTTAATATTTCAGGTGCTCAGGCTGTTGCTTCTCTTTACTCTTCAGTCCCGGCGGAAGCTTACGGGATTGTTAAAGGATTCTGTTTCCAGTCATATGGATCCAGAGTGGTGCTCCAGCTCCTTCCTTCTAAAGATGCTGCTGTTAGCACCATGGTTCTCTGCCACAGAAATGAAACTATGCTGGAAGAACTGAAGGTTTGTTAAATGTTAAATTAAAGATGGTTATGTGTTAATTTATTCATTTTAATTATTTTCATTTAAATGAACCAATATAATAGTCTATATACTGATTAATTCAAACACACAATTTGAAATAATTCACCAAAATGAAGCTTACCAACTCTAATGGCATTTTGCTGCTAAAGTTTAAAACATCTGTCTTAGCTGTATTTAAAAACATCTGTTTTAATGCTTTTATACTCTTGAGTCATGAGACAAGGAAGAATCTAGACTAATGATACAGTCTTTAGGAAACTTAATGGCCAAATAAAAGCTGCATTAAAATCATCGGAATATTAACAATGCTTACTTTTATATCGACAGTAAAATCAGCACAGATAACTCGTGAATGTGCAATGTATTGCCCCGCTTTATTAATAATTCCTGTTTGTGCTGTCTTCGCACTCATTCTGTTGAGTTTATTTTGGGTGCATACTTCCTTCTCTGTTAGTTCTCCAAACTATTTATTTTGTTTCTTGTATTTTTGTTCCAATTTTCTGAATGACTTTTTCCAGATTTACTGGATTCCATTTCTTCATTCAAATTTACTGCATTAATTCTCTCTTTTACTTCTCTCATATGATGAACATTTGTTCCATTTGTTGGACAGATGACATGCCAAAGAGCAGAACATGTGTTGCGACTGACTCTGAGGGAGCCCTACGCCCTGTTTGGAGGAGGCTGCACAGAGACGCTGCTGGCCACCCACATCAATCACATGGTATTCTATTCCACTGAGTTAAACATCCCATTGAATTGTATTTCTACAGTATTGGTTATACTGTAAAGTTCCACTTGTCAGAATTTTATGAAAAGATTCATGCATTATGTATTCCTTTTTCAGAGGTATTAACTGTGAAATTTATTTTCAAGGCTTGCCAAGTGCCACATTTCTACCTGACTAGACTTTTAAAGGGGTGGTTGACTGGTTTTTTATAGGCTTGATTGTGTTTATGGGGTGCAGTCTAACATGTGTTAATGCTTAGTTTGTTAAAAAACGCATTATTTTTCACATAATTTACCTTTATTCCACACCTCTCTGTCCCTTCTCCTCTGAACGCACTGATCATTTCCTGCTTTTATGAAGCCCCTCCCTCAGAAATACACGATGGTACTGCTTCTGTTAGCTTTTAATATACGGTTTTATTCTGATTAAAGCTTTAATACAGTTCGGCAACCACACGCGCGTCCATGTATAATGCTTCTCTCAACTATAGTATGTGAAAATACTGTAACTGTATTCACTGAGCTGATGATCTGAATGAGAGAGCCATTTGCATTGAACTTTCAGCTTCGTAACTTTGCAGATATTGTTTATGATCAAACAGCAACATTACACACTAACTAACATTAAAAAAGTGAAATCGCAATCAACCACCCCTTTAAACCTTTCTAGTTAGATTTTTTTTTTTCTTTTGATACCTCACAGCTTTTGTTGGATCATCCCCAATTTTGTGATAAATCATTTTGATCAAAAAAGTGTGCTGTCCACATCCAAAATCCAAAAACAACAATACACAACAGATGTCCGCACACTGAAATTAAAGCTCTAGAAATCTTTATTACAACCAAGCGTGAACATTTTATCCAGTTAGGCCTTCATAACTGGTCAAACGTTGCTCTTGGTTGGAATAATAAAAAAAATGAGTGTGCAGACATTTACTGTTTTATTATTATTACTTTTAAATCATTTTGAGGCCATATTAGTCAATGGTTATTTAAAAATGTTATATGGTTTAATGAATCTTAATCGCAATAATTGGCTCAGATTATATTCAGACCAGCCCTCACAAAATTAAACTTATTTCAATGAATGTTGTTTAACATTTATTAATTAGTGGCAAATCTGCTCAAACCTATTTAAAATGACCATTAGGGGAGCTGTGACCAAACAAATCATCTCAACATTAAAATGCACATGCCATTGGTGTACCTGTAATTTCTGCTATATTTAATTTTTTTGTCACTTACTTCACAGAATCAGTCCAAAGCCGCAACAACAGCTGCAGCTCTGTGCGTCTCTCAGTCTGAGTTCCTCATGGCAGTTGAGGCATTCTGCAACTCTCTGCAATCTGTGGCTCTTTCCTTAGAGCATGATGGACAGGACTGTCTCATTGACCTGACATATGCTCATCGCTGGGTCCCAGATATATACTCCAAAACCTGTGGCTGTTGCCTGGTGGAGGACAGATCCAACCTGGAGAAGACCCTTCTAAATACAGCTTACCACACTTTCTCTCCTGTTTCCCTGGAAAACACTGACAATCAGCCCAGAATATTAGATTCATTTTCTGCCAAGCTCAATGCTTTGAATGTGGCGGTCGAGATGGCTAATTTTGTTCTTGATGTAAAATATATAATTAAAGATATCAACTGAATTTTGATGAATGAATAGCTGTGCATTGAATAAAGCTTGTAGGTTTGATGTATTTTATAATCAAATGTTGTTCTAAGACGTTTTCTTCAATATAACTCAATGTGGCAACATACATGTTAAATATTACTTACATTAAACTACCAAAACCAAAATATGAGGAACACAGAGAGTTGCAGACTGTCTGCAACTATATGCATTTATATTTCTTATATGATGCTGCAAGAGTCTCAATTAACTGCACTTTTTGCAAATATGCAAGCAGAAAAATCTGTCGTCACAAGGACAGGTTTTAAATTAAGCTAAATTAAGTTTAAGGGCTAGTAAAAAAAATATATGTATATATTTTTTTTTTGGTAGGTACATTTTCTCAGTTCACCTGAATTTGACATGTATGACAAAAAGTTTAATTTTGGACCCTGCCTGAGTCATCTTCATTGTGCCATGTGCCTTTGAGAAAGGAACCCATCTCCAGGTAGCTCCGAGGCTAATGTTCCTGTAATTAGTGCATCGTAAGGATAAAAACATCTGCTAAATTACCACATAGAAGTATCTACTCTGAAGGAAATTATCTATTGTAAGAAAGAACAACGGGTGTGTATTTTGTAGATAGAGTTCTCCACACTAGGTGTAGTCCTTAATCCTTCCAGTATGTTTACATTCCTGCTGTTAATTTGGCTATTAAAGTATATTTAAGCTCCATCAGTCAAATGTTCGGTTCACTTCAAATGCAATTACCTATATTAATATATAAATATATATATATTCTCTCGCCGAGAGAGAACTGATAACAGCGGCAACGAGCACTCGCCATAACACATTCCAGCGATAGACCGCCTGTTATTTAACACAGACCAACTAATTTCTTATCGAGTGGAGATGTTTCTTTCTTTTTTAGGTACATCCGACCGTGCCAAAAAGTGGTGGGGTCGTGCTCTCTTGCCTCTCGGAGAGGAATGCGGTTGCCGTGATTCCTGCGTGTTTATGTGTGTGTAGGAGAGAGACGCGCCCAAAGAGAACTGTTCAATTTAATATAAGAAACAGATAAGATACTGATTTTAGTTGGTCTAAATTAAGTAGGTTTGGCACAAATTCACTTATATGGGTTCCCTTCAAGACATGAGCACTGTGTTTGTATGTGCTTCATAACTGTGCAGCTCAGGGGGCCCGTCATTACTAAGTTACGCCACTGGTCTACCGACACACTTTTATGCCTTATGAAAGAAAATTTGTAATTGCTATTCTTCTTTCCTTGATGAAAAAGATTATCTTAAAACCAATTACTTAAATCATTTTATTTTTTTATTTTTTTTTTACTTAAAATATGAAGTGAAATACTGCATTGTTAGCATCACCACAATTTAATAGCAAATTTCTGATTAGGCTATCTTTACTGTTAAGCAAACAGATAATCCCAACCCCACCATGTTGTGGGGTTGGGATTACACAAATTACACCAAATTACACACAGTTACACACAAATACACTAACAACTGCAATAACATACTGTACAAATGATCAAAAAGACTAAGTTGTTGTAAAGTGTTCTGTTGTGATTAATCCATTATCATACAGAATGTCAAAACCATTATGTTCAAGACATAAATTGTAGAATCTTTCCTACAGCATGCTAAATCAGGTAATGAAAACAAACCAAAATTACAGGTGTAAATCGTAGCAACTAAGATGAATTCTTTCCTCCTATCAGAACAAAACTCCATTTATCTGTCATGGCTCTTTAGAAGATGAAGGGTATGAGAGATCTTCTTGATCTGGGGAAATCTTTGAACTTCTCATTATAGAACCTGGAAAACATTAGAGAAACCACATCTATTTTTCTAACACTTTTTTTAGTGCATCACTGCATTGTACTCTCAAAACCCAGTTTACTGAATTAATGATATACCAGATGAAAAATGATGTAAGTAATTTTCTAATTTATAAGTAATATTAATTTTACAAGATGTTTTTAGTTTACCTGTGATGGTGATAGGCTCTCGGGCCTATGAAGCAAATTGTGAAAAAAGCAAAGGCAAATGTGGGTAAAGACCAGGTAGCAACAGCGTAGCCCAGCCACTCTACAATCTCCCCAAAAAAATTAGCTCCAGACACATACTCAAACAAACCACCTGCAGTTTAAACAAACACATAAATCAGTTTAGCATTTATTCAGTCCAGCTTATTGCAGTTTGCTTACAGAGACTGAGATAAATACAATAAATGATGAGTGCTGCTAACATTAAAAAGACCCTGAAATATCTCTACCTCTCGGGATTTTATAGGAAATTTCTCCAGGTTTTCTCAGGCTGCGAAGAATGTGGTCACTGTGAATATTGATTCCCATTCCTATGAAAAATATTATCAGACCTAGAAAAATATTTTTAAAATCATTATATAAACATGTACAACTTTATATTAAGCAAGTCCTCTAAAGAAATTTGCTGCAAACGATAAGCTCCAATACGCTACACTTTTGAAAATAAAGATTTTGGCTATTTTTAAGAACTGTTCACTGTAAGGTTCCAAATGTTAAAGTTCCAAAAATGATTCTATGAAGTTGCTGCAAAAAAAAAACACTTTTGGAACCTTTATTTAAGTGCAGCTATTCGGCATTAACATGCAGATTTTTTTAATTGAATAAATTCTAAAATATATAAGAAAGGTTGAGCAAAATTCTGAATTTAAGAATTATCTCCTTTTCAATTCACAAGTTGGACTTTGAAATGAACTGTTCAACAAATTTATTCCCTATGTAGAATACATTTTATCTCGGTTTGATTCAATATATTTCTCTTTTTGATGGTAGTAAAAAGGTCAGTACTGTTATAACAATTAACACAGCCATACTAACAGATTTTATAAGATAAACAGCAGTAGTTCATAAAGTATGAATATATCTGTTCATATCCTGTATGAATTTCATTGACTGTACCTTCCATTTATTTCTACTTAAATACAAATTCAATTGACAATTAAACACCTCAATTTAAATGCTCAATTCAATTTTGAATAGCACACAACCCTGAATTATACGAATTCTTTCAGTAAACAAGTTTTACCGGCTAGTAAACAGGCCTCAGAAAACCATGTATTGTGATATGTAGCACAGTGCAGCAGATAGTGTGCCTGCAGGAAGCCATTAATAGAGCAAAACACCATCCCTAACAGCATGATGTTAAGCGGATACGGCCGCCCGTTGGTCAGCAGGGAGTAGATGCAGCTCCTGGAAACCAGAATGTTGATACATATCAAATACCATCTCTTGGTCATCTGCCCACAATACATTACACTTCCACTGTTATTAGGCCTACTGTATGTGTCTTTGTAATTCAACACCTGTTCCCAAACCTGCTGTGTTTTGTCCAGATCATGCTTCTGTTGAATTATTCAAACATTTCTCACTTTATTCACCTGCTTCTGGCCCGGTTATGTGTAATTACTCAACTGAAATATGAATAAAATTCTGCTGTTACATTTCTGCAGCCTTGATTATTTGTCAGCACAGCAGGATTGTCTAAAGAAACAGGAATCTAGAACATTCCACCCAGTGTGTTCCCTTTTATCTTCGGATTAAGGGTATTTTTTTCCCTCATTTGTTCTGGGTGAGCTAGATAACACATCCAGGTTTGTGAAATGGCGTAGCTGAACTTGGGTTCACTGCATACTAAATAAACAAGCACTGTAAATGGCAGTGTTGGGCAGTAACTAGTTACTAGTAACTTAGTTACTGTAATAATATTACTTTTTGCAGTAACTAGTAGTGTAACTAATTGCTAATACGATTTCAGTAATAATATTACAGTTACCATCCATAAAACAGCTTAGTTACTTTTGATATCTCAACCCTGATTTAAAATCCAACAATCAAATAATTCTTAGATTTATTTTCATAATTTTCACGACTCGCACATGCATGTGATGTCCCCAGTGCAGCAGCTAAGCTTGGAATATGGAAAAGCTTACATTCAGCAGATAGAAATATTAATGCATTATATTAACTTTGTCAGGAAAAAAGATGATCTGAACACTGTTGTGTAAGTTGTGGCTTTACTTTACTCTGGCATTATATTACTATAATTAAAAATATTTTTGGAAAATTAAACAGCTTCTTACAAACTTATGTGATTTGATAAAATACATAATGAAGTATAATCGTATATGGGTAACAGAGAAATTACAATTAGCTTCAAGCGTAACACATGACAATTAATGAGATTAATATAATCACTATTGAGTGTTTGTAATAACTTCTGACTGCGATCCAATGGATTTTGGTCAAATGATGAGGCAGAAATGTGTTGTTAGTAATATTCTAGAGGAATTTTATGTCAAAGATACACAGTAACTATTTCTGTGGGGCGTGAAGAAAAAGTTGTAGTGTAACTAATTACTGTTGCCAGAAAGTAATAAGTAAAGTAACAATATTACTTTTGAAAGGAGTAACTAGTAATGAGTAATGTATTACATTCTTTGAGTAACTAGCCCAACACTGGTAAATGGTAACAAAAATGCTGTGATATCATGCCATGTCATTATAAAGTGGCTATGATCCATTTTCTCTGGCCTATCTGCATTTTATACTAGTGATCTTTCATTTTAAGATGTTAAATTACCATATTATTAAGTGTTTAATAACAATTTGAATTATTCTTCAGCCCCACCAACAATCTTCCCATCATGCACACGACTTACCTCTGAAAGTGGTGCAGGCAGAAGGTCCAGAGCATCAGGTGTCTCCCGGTGCCGTTGTTTCCATCCGTGGTCAGCATCAAAATCAGGGGCACCAGCAGAGCGGGAAGCTCCTGGAGGAACCAGGCGAGCCTTGCAGGCACCATCATGGAGCTGCCCGAGGTGTCCACGTAGCGGCCATAGGCAGCGTGAGACTTCATTAGACATATAAAGTGCATTACTCCACCCAAGATCATCGCCAAGCTCAGGCCCTGCACGAGGAGCTCCTGGCAATGCATGGAGGTCGACATTCTGTCCAGTTCCAGACCAGGTTTGGGTGAGTCTAATGCTGTATCTCCCCTTTTAACCCCTCACCAGAGTTCTGCAAACACAGCGCCTATAGAGCAGCTCCTCCCCAAAAGCAGAGGGAGAGCCGAATCCTGTGCTACAGCTTGCACCCTTCTGAAATGTGAGAATGCCTTTTTCAAAGAGATTTCCCTTTTGACATATTGAGATTTTTTTTTTCCACTAATGCACTGGTGGGGAGCATCAGCTTTCATATGACAAATTGGTCTAAAAACACAAGCATGTCTGTTTTTTGTGCAACTCGGCGAGCCTTGGCTTTTTTTGGCCACCTAAGGAGCGTGCTGATGTTTACCTGCTGATTCTGTGAATTTATGTTTGGAAAGGTGAACAGAGAAATTAGTTTCTCAGTATTTTACGAGAGCAGTAATCCAGTCTGTCTTTCTTTCATCAACCTGTTTACACAAATCGAAGCATGAGAAACTAGGAGAAAGGGCTAATTCTTTTGTGTATCATCATATTTCCGGAAGGCAATTGGGTGTTTTTTTCTTTTATGCTAGATAACGATAATGACCCTTTTCAAAAAGAGGTTCACCAGGAGGTTTCTTCAGGTTTATTTCCCTAAACACTTTGGCATAATCAAGTTCAGACAATTTACAAATTGCGGGAAAAGTATTTCCAAATCATACATCCGTAAGGTTATTATTGTATGATGAATTCAGTTGACTTTCAGAAAAGCACGTTTCTACGTCTATAGCTCACAACAGGTTGTTTCCTGCAATTAAGGGAGCACCCGCTGAGAATGCTGATGAATGCATGAGTGCTGTGTATGTAGAGAACTTCATCAAACAGCAGGAAGTATTTCCCCTTGCACCATTTATCCATATTACCAATAACCGTTCAGTGTTTGTCCCCGGTAAAAAGCAGTCACTCAATAAAAGTCACTTAAAACAACAGGGTGCTCAAAAAATCCCAGTCTTCCAATTATGTTTCCAAGGAAACGCTTAAAAGAATACAATTTTACAGCCTGACTACTGCTAAATTGATGTATAAAAATAACCCTTTAGCATTATTTCAATTTAAAAAAGCAGCAGTGAATATTAAGCTACTTAATTTTGATTGACATTGTTTTCTAAAAGCATATTTACCTGCTCTGCAAAAATTAAAACAATTAACAATTAGACCAGCATTTGAATTTCAAAACAGATGAACCCAATTAACGAGTTTCCCATTTGTAAGTCACATGATGTAAGTTTGGGACCAACACTGCAGTCATTTCTGGATTAGAAACTTGCAGTCACCACAGCTGACACCTCTGTCCAAACGAATTCTCAACAATGTTCACTTCACTCGAATGTGTTCACTGCAACCTGAAATGGCTCAGGAGATTTGAAATGTCAACGCTGCTAAAGAGAACAGATTGATGAAGTGATATTTGTTGAGCTGGGCCAATTAATGGGAACCACCATCTCTTGTTCCCTTTCTTGAAAAAAAAAACTTAAATATGTGAAAGTTTTAATACAGAATAAATTCTAATCACAAATCAAATTTCAAAGAAGGGTCAAAGAAAAGGAAAAATAATTAGAAAAAGTGAAAAACAATTGTATGAGCTGTAGTTTGAAGGTACTAGTTACACAAAACAAATGCCACCTAATACCTGAAAAAAAATGAATGGCACATAAAACAAGTATTAATTTCCTCAGCCCCTGCTTCAGTCAAAATCATACAAATCTACATCCATAAGGGGCCTGGGATTGTTTTATGACCTTTGATAGCTACAGCAGTCATCATCCAACTAAATAAATAAACCAAGAATAAATAGGAAATTTTCACCCCACAGGAATTTTGCTGCATAGCACACAAAATTAAAAGGTAACTGGTCTGCCATGTGTGCTCTTCCTATTTAGAAAACATGCACGATAATGTGACGATTGCATGAGGCTGGCTAAGCAGTGCATGACAGGTCTGCTTTCAATATAAAAGTACGTCTGCAAATTCAATTCAGTAAAAGTATTTCACATGTGTCCGCTTTTATTAATTTAAGCCATCACGATACCGTTCAAAGGTGTGGGGGTTGGTAAGAATTTTTTAATGTTTTTAAAATGTCTCTAATGCTCACCAAGGTTGCATTTATTTGATCAAAAATACAGTGAAAAATGCAATATTGTGAAACATTATTACAATTTAAAATAACAGTTTTCTACTTTAACATATTTGTAATGTAATTTATTCCTGTGATGGCAAGGCGGAATGTTCAGCATCATTACTCCAGCCTTCAGTGTCACATGATCCTTCAGAAATCATTCTGATATGCTGATTTGCTGCTCAACATTTATTCAATTCAAGTTTATTTGTATAGCGCTTTTCACGATACCAATCGTTGCAAAGCAGCTTTACAGTGTTATCAGTGTTGCAAAGCAGCTTTACAGTATTATCGGTGTTGAAAACAGTTGTGCAAAAGTTCAAAAGAACAGCATTTATTTTGAATAAAAATATATTTATAAATGTCTTTACTGTCGCTTTTGATCAATTGAATGTGTCCTTGCTGAATAAAAGTATTATTTACATTTTTAAAAAAGTCATTTTCTGCAATTACTTGTCAAGAATGGTTACATTTGCAGATATGTTGCAAAAATGCAAAATTCAATAATATCTTCATAATGACTGGGAAACATGTTGAGGATTGCCTTTACTGCCCAAAAGACCTTTCAACTTACATATTTCATATATTTTGCTTACTACAGAATAGAATGTGGTTTAAACTCACATATCCATGATTCCGCAATCCTTCAATTAGAAAAGAAATGGCAGAGACTACATCTTGGGAGAGAAGCACAAGACTCGTGTTGTAAAACATGGCATTTTTAATTAATCTTGGCCAACTCCGACTCCAATAACTCACCAACTGCTCGTAAACATGTCACAAACACAGGAATCGCAAACAATAACACAAGAAACCACAGCACAGTAACGTTTGTCATTACACTTTATTGTTTCTTTGCAACATCAGCCATGACCCTTGTCATATCTGGCGAGAATTCTGTAATGCTTCAATGTAACCTGAGATTCAAAAATGACTCCGTTAAAGAGCGCTTCAATTAATTTCAACATAGATTTGACAACGTGTGAATGGTTCATTTCTACGCAATAATAGTTAGAATAATAATAAACAGTACTAAAATAAAAAATGTTTTTGAAACAATTCTAACAGTACAAGAACAGGTGTTGTGCTGGGTGAACCCGATGAATCTCGTCCCCTACTTTGAAAATGGCGAAAACTGATTCAACACAGACTAAATCAAGTCTTTTTAGTGGGTAAATGAAGGGTAGGGACAAGGGTGGAAAGCACAGGACCAAAAAAAAAAAAAAACATGTTTAACACTGACCCAAGGCACATCTGCATGGTGTGACATGCTTTGTCTGTTTTCTGTTTGAGGATTTGGTTTGAGACATTCAAACCTTGATGGGGATGTACAGGAGCCTTGCCGTTTTCCTTCCGATGGTTACCCAGGAAAAATCTTGCTGCATTGTGCTCTTTGGGAGTAGATGAGTAAAGGAGGAAAGCCAGACAAAATGCCTATGCCGTTCAGAAAATCCACCTCTGGCGGTTCCTCGATACGGGTGTGCATCACTAACTACTACTCAGCTGTTAAACATGGCTGTTAACTTGCATGAGAAAATAAAATTGTTTCAGAATAACCCAAATAAATCCCCCCCTCACGATTTAAAAGTTTTTGAAGTTTTGGATTGAAGGGATAGAACAGCCATTTTGAGGCAGTCTGAACTGTACTGCACTTCCTGTAGACTTCAAACACTTCTATATGCTTCCACACAGTTTGAGATTATATGTCAAACGCATAGTAAAACTAGAAAGCTAAATAATGGTGATCACAAATGGAAAATAAACAGAACGGAATATAAGAATCAGAAAAAAAATTTAATTTGACTACAATAAAAGATTAGATGAGAGAAAAACTCTTTTTTGGTATATCCAGAACAGTGGAGGGTTAGTGGGTATTGTGTAGCCCTTTAAAAACTACAACAGGACCAATGCAGTAGCTATTACTACAATTCTCAGGGTGTACATGGACATAGCATGTTGCAGTCTGTCAACTTCCTTTGTCTCATTATTTATCATTAGGTGAGACGTTATGTAGATTATGCAGACTTGCAAAAAGAGTGCAATGTCGTTGGTTTTATTTCTTTTATTTAAACTTTAAATGTGTCTTGCTTTTAAATTACACAAGGGCTCTTCGGACATCTAACGTCCTTGGAGGGTCAAAAGTGGAGTTTGCCTCATTAAGACCCCGCTCCCCCCCAACAAACAAGGAAAAAAACACCACCAAAAATCTGACCTTGCAACACCCAAAACACTGCGGCTGTACTTCAAGCTATAGCATCATCCAAGTTGCCTCACATGGAAAACGGGGTACAGGGAAAGCAGTAGGAAGAGGAGGTTAGTATCTAACGTTACATCTGGATTCGGGGTATGTATGAGGATTCCCAGCTGCAACCAGCTTCGTATGTCCTTCCTATAGAAGAGGCGAGGGAGGATGGGGACACGGGTGGGAGGGGCTGGGGTCTTCTAGGAGGCTCCGCGGCTCCTGGGAAAGTTCACCTCAATGAACGACGAGAGTTCCAGCAGCGTAACTCACAGAGCTGTCCGACCAGTTTCGGCACTGGCTTGACTGCGCATAGTTTAGGAAAGAGAAGTTCATGTCTACGCCGTTCTTTTTCAGTTCCGCCACAGCCTGATGGAGTGAGGAGAATCAATGGAGAGTCAACACTAAAGAGATGCTTTTAGACTGACAACTGTAATCTTAAAAGCTTCATAATGAAAGAGCGGGAAGTTGGCAAG